AAAATATTAATTTTTTGATAAGCCAATCAGCATGATCAGCATCGAGCCTTCATTGCATCAAGTTTTCACTGTCGCCATAAAATCGAGCCTGTTTTCTGGTTGTCGTCGTCATCTTTTCAAATGACTGCATATCTGCATATCGAGCAGAAAGAATGCGGCGATCACGAAGTGTAGGGCCCCTAGTCAAATTTTTTTTATTGTTCAAAAATCACCTTTACAATCAAAAGCAGACTTTCCTCTAGCTCTACTGAGTGGAGCGTTGAATTACGGGTACCCCTCCATACAAATGCTCCACCGATTTGGCATACTTTGGTGACAGGTACACCAGGTGCAACTCGGCAGGCACATTTAATTGTGAGCGGTAAGTGCAGACTATTTTGTTCTTTTTTCAAAAGTACCAGTTGTTTGGAACAATTTAAGGGGTCATATGGAATGTCATGAATGTGTGGATCTATCCAGGGTTACTGTCTTTCTCATTCGTATTTTCTTTATCAGTTTTTTTGGGCCTTGTCCTCGCGAGGGCATGCACAAAATGCATACCGTCATGACGACCGTGTACCTGTCAGTGTCACAAAAGTATGCCAAATCGGTGGAGCGTTTGTATGGAGGGCTTAGGGTACCCGTAATTCAACGCTCCACTCAGTAGAGCTAACTTTCCTCAATTCCAATGACAACCGTTTTGCAATTTTGAACAGATTCTTTGGTTAGAAATCACGATTTTCCTGCGCGGTTTTCCTTGCGATTCAGCATGTCGTGCGTACTCCTAGAACTATGAGGCTCCACGTAGTGGCTCCACTACGTGTAGCCCCACTAGTGTGGCCGTCGGTATGCTGCGCTGAACCTCTGGCCACACACCGTGGTACCGCGCGCTACTGAGGACGAAGTTTTCAAAAAATCTGCGGTCAGTTTCTTACATTCTCAGTTTCTTACTTTCTTATGGTTGTATTCTATGATGTCCAACATATCACTTCTGGGATGCTTAGGTCTAATGATGTTCCATTTTCCGAGATATTCTTCAATCTTTCTGGAGCCCATATGCACTCATGAAACATCTGGTGATGGCAGCCATTTTGAATGGGACAAGAGATGACCTCAAACTGTGACGTTGCGTTTATGCAAATTGCTTGTCAAGCGAGCGAGGGCGCGAGTTGCAAATGCGACGGCTGTTTCCTGTATCATGCATTTATCGTCAGGGGGCCACGTGCACCAATCTCTATTCAGGATCTACGGCACAGGAAACAACCGTCGCATAAGACGGTAAGACATCATAGAATACAACCATAAGAAAGTAAGAAACTGAGAATGTAAGAAACAGACCGCAGATTTTATGAAAACTTCATCCTCAGTAGCGCGCGGTACCACGGTGTGTGGCCAGAGGTTCAGCGCAGCATACCGACGGCCACACTAGTGGGGCTACACTACGTGGAGCCTCATAGTTCTAGGAGTATGTCGTGCGTGCCCGCTCACGGTTCATCGAGCGGTGATCGCCATCTTTATTTTTGGGTCGCGTGTTGTCGCGCCGCGCTGTCATCATCATTTTTACCCCCGAATTTCCCTCAAAAAATCAAAACCCTGCCCTCTATCTATGACATACTTGTTTATTGAAAATGTCGCCAAAACTAGTTTGGTACGTCCAATAATTTAAAAGTGGATTTTTTTCCCTTTCAGTTATAGGAACCGGGACCTACACTACACGATCGCCAAGAATGCAGTAGGCCTATTCAACGTTTGTGTACAATTTTAAGTCTATGGAAAGTCAAGAAGATTTTCAAAGTATTTTCTAACCAAATTGGAAATGATTCTCAGTCCCAGATTCATGTCTTTTTAACATTTTTGCAATGACTGACCTTTATTGAGATGATATATGAAGAAAATGTGGCATCAGGCTTTGCAACGTTCCTTCCCCAAACGTTCCCTTTCTTTCTGAATTGAACTTCAGGAGTTTCAACTTTCCGCACTTTTGTTTACTAATCGACCAAGTTGACAAGCGCCCTCTCTAGTTGGACGTAGAAATCTTACGTTCCGAGGGCGCCCTTCTCGGGGGGGGGGGGGCGGGTTGAAAGAAAATTAAAGTAAACTGTTTGGCACATAATTATAATGAATTTGTCTTCGTGCGAGAGGACTACTATTTTGTCAGGCGCGCCCTTTTTCAACAGAAATTTTTAGTTGACAAAAAAATGTGCAAATATATGGGGTAAGCTAGGCCTATGCCCTTACTTTTTAGAAGTGAAACAAACGACTTTCAATAAAGTAAAACGGGTAATTTCTTAGTTTTCAAATTTAAGAGGATTGTGTTGCTTATGTTCCATGAAAACTGAATTGGATTGTATTTCTCGCATATATATTCAACGCTATTGTTTCGGTCATATATTTGTATTATTGGACGGTTTCTCATGAACACACTATTTATTTTAACCATAGACAGCTTCCCTCAAATTTTAATAGACTTGTGTCACAAGGGCATTAAATCTCAACAGGAAACATCAGACACTATATTTAATACACTTAGAGCAGTAGAGTGGTGTCAGCGCCAAAAACCAATCCGAATTAATATAAAGGACATTTACACTTATAATTTTGCCGACTAAAATTTTATTCCAAAGGAGTCCGCGCTTCACAACCACCGGGATTTAGTCCTTGCCATTGTACAGAAACGACCATAATGGACCGTAACGCTAACTCCTGAATTATCTGATGCATTGAATTCAATTTCAGCCATCAGATTGGTCATGACAAATAGAACAAACACACAGAATATTTAGACACAAATTGTTGTTCTCTCCGTAAATATTTGTCAACACCGGGAAAACGCGCGTATCTGCAATCAGGTCTATAGCACACTTTGCCCATATTGTACAGAAACGACATCGACACAAACCTAATGGACACGCCAACTCCTGAATTATCTGATGCATTGACATATGAATTTGTTGTGTTCACTTAAGCTCAAACCTCTGTGCTGGCCCGTTTCCGGGCGAGAATCCCGGTAAAAAGGCGCATTTTTTTCGATGTTTCGAGTCATAGTTTGATAACCATGCGGTCTTTTTCAATGGGGGTAAACGGTTCTGTACAATTTAACTCTTTCGCTTTCTCATGGTATATGTTATTTTTTTTTTATCTTGAAAAAAATCACCGTACTTTCGGCTTTGAAAATGTGAACTTTTCATCATTTTCCTGTGTAAACGCACCGATTGAGCGCCCTCGCGTCGACTCTTTTGACTGTAACTCCTGACTAGAGTATCGAATTGTGTGGGGGTAAACGGAATCGAATAGCTTAGCTCCTCCTCTTTCTTTACATGTAAAACTTGTTATGATTGGTTGAAAAAAACCACCGTACTTTTCACAAAGAAAAAAAGTGGCCAATGACAACTTTCGATCGATAAGGCATCGTTCGAGACTTACATCGATGTACCATTCACTGTAAAAACGTTGGGCAAAAAAATGTTGGGCAAAGTGATTTCACCAACATTTGGTCTGTTTTAGTACAAAATGTTGGACATTTTGGGTCGAAATTGACCAACACGATTTACCTAAAAATGGGCATCCAAAACATCCAACAAATGTGTGACTTTTGTCTTTTTATTGGTAGTATTTAATTACCAAACAGTGTTGGTCACTTTTCACCCTAAATATGGGCAATCCCAAATTTGTCGCACTAATTTATTGCGTTCAAATATATTTAAAAAACCAACAAATGTGACTAGATTAACCAAAGTTTTGGTTAACCAGTAATTGGTTACTTTTTTCCCAGTATTTTAGTTCTTTATCATCTTCACACATTTGTTCGTTATTTTTTGCCCAACCAAAATGGTACAGATTGACCATCACCATTGGGTAAAATACACTTTCATCCAACAACGTGGTACAGATTACCCCATACTATTGGGCAAACCACTTTCCCCTGTATTTTCGATTAGAATCACCCGACGGCTGGGCATAAACTGCCCATTACTCATTGGTAATGCATTTTACCCAATGAAAATTATAAAATCATCCAACGACAAAGTACAGATTACCCATAAAAAGTAGGCAATTTATTAACCCCGCAAAATTACCCAACAACATGGTATAACTTACCAATCACTTATAGGTAATCCACTTTAACCAATACAAATTATAAAGTCACCAATTAGTTGGAATTTCCTGCTGCTCAATTATTTTTGTTTTACGGCGTTTGAAAAATTTGAACAAAAAAATACCCAACGTATCGTATTAAACTATAGACCAATTATTGTTTGAATATAGTTTTACCAAACAATAATGTTTACCAACGTTTTTTTCAGTGCATAGATATTGGGAAATGTTAATTCCCCAATAATCTACTCCTGAGAAGGACCAACATAAAACAAATGAGGTGAAAAAAAAAACCTTTTGGTTAAATAACCTTCTTAACTCCAAGTTATTAGCAAGATTGCCATACTTTGAAAATTCCGAAATATTTTACACAGTATTTTCTGAGAAAGAAATAGGAAATTTTGGAGGTGTATTTCAATAAATATATGACTTGTCTCTAAGTGGGGTTTTAAAAAAAACCTCAAAGAAGAATAGGACCTACCACAAAAATCATGAAATCATCACGTGTACCGTTGCGCTTTTATCTCCATATAAGGTAACCGTACAGTGGGCTAGGCTCATACCATCAAACACAGTGATAGGGGTGTTTCACCATGCACTAAGTAAAATTGCTAATAATTTTTATAATTATTTATGGTTTGGGAATTGTTGAGTTTTGAACGGAAATGTATTTATTTAATGGGAACAAATGTGTACTCAGAAGTTATTAAAACGAGCACATTTAGTATTCCTAATACCCAGGCTTCACACACTCGATCCTGATGTCTCCACTCCCAGAAATGTATTGCACCAAAATGTTGGGTACGTGCCAACTCCGTTTACCGCGCGCGCGCAAAATCGGCATTGATCTTCGTCGAGGCGTCACGTAGGCCCTATACGTACGTACACGTACACGTACGTACGTACACACACGGTCGGCCGGATCGCCCATTGCCTGTCCTGCCCGCCCGCCGCAGTTTGCCAGTTTTATTCCTATAAGTATAATACTCTTCCCGTCCGGCACCGTTTCCAAAATGTCAAGGGGGCCTGGAGCTGGAGACATCGACGAAGATTTACCGGAAGTCGTTGCAGACCATGATGACAGTGTGGACGAATACCTACAACGTTGGGGTGTTCCCGAATTAAGTGCAAATTTCAAAGGTAGGCTGAGTATTGACATCCAGCATTTAGGGCCTAGCCCTAGGCCTATCTGCATTGCAGGCTAGGCCTATAGCCTAGACCTTGGCCTGGGCCTAGCAGTAGGCCTAGGCCTAGGCTAGACCCAGAGGGTCGTTAGAACTCCTTTCTCGCATTTGTCTTTCGGACTGTAGTACCCCAGATCGAGTACGAAGTAGGGCCTAGGCTAGTCCCACCAAGGGCGGATCCAGGGGGGGGGGGCCAAAGGGGGCCATGGCCCCCCCCCCCCCAAAACGAAACCAATTTTTTTTTTTATGTGACATTGCAATAAAGGCAGGCAATGAGTACATCACCATCTTTTCCTCAAAAAAACATTGGTTAAAGTGGTCAGAAATTGCCTCAGATCGCACCACAGAGCATCTAGAATCCAAAATTTTTCGGGGCCCTTAAGCGGGCCCCGAACCCCACGCCGTAATTTTTTTAACCCAATTTTTGGGGGACCAAAATTTTTTTTGGCCCCTCCTAAAATTTTGTTCTGGATCCGCCCTTGAGTCCCACTAGTAACTGGGGCGCTAGAACTTGACATTGGGATGTTGGTCTGTCGTACAATACAACAAGCGTCCCACTTTGCATTGTCAAAGTGACAAAGTGACATTGTCAAAGTGACAATGCAAAGTTAACACAAAAATACCTTTGAAATCGCCTCAATTCTACATATAATTATAAAAGACGAAGTAGCTAAATGGGGCTTCAATGATACTTGATATGCCTAGGCTAGCTGGAGTTACCCAGCCCTGAATTTTATCATTGGGTTGTCATGTAGGGCTTGAGCTAATTTTTCATGGTTTTTTTGGGGTCGAAAATCCGTGAAATTCAACCACTATTGAACAGATATCATACAGCGATCATTCAAAAACGTTTATGGCTTTTAATCTACCAACGCATTGTATATGGTAGTATGGACGTACACACGTACCACATACAAACAATTAACGTAGGCTGCATGTACGTGAAGCAGGGGCGCGGCCGGGACACGACCGCGTGCGATCTACATGCGGAGTTTGTGTTTGACAGATACAAACTCCGTATGTAGATCGCGCGCGGTCGTGTCCCGGCCCCTGCTTCACGTACGTCTACGTGTTACTGTTTGTATGTGTACGTGACTACGGGATGTATGTCCATATTACTACCATATGCCTACCATGCGTTGGTAGCCTAGATAAAAGTCATAAGCACTTTTGAATGAGTTCTGTATGATGTCTGTTCAATAGTGGTTGAATTTCACGGATTTTCAACCCGAAAAATATCCCTTTTTGAGGCTGCATCAATATTGTAATTTTTTTTTATGAATTTAGTTGGGGCCTACTAATGCTAAATCACTTAAGAAGGTTTTGTGGTTATCTACCCAGAATTATTAAATAAAAAGGGCCTCTTCCATTTTACGGCAGATATATTCCATGTTGTACATATACTTGTACACCCTACATGTATTATTGCCCCTGTGATTAGATCTTCTGATGATTCCTATAGCCCTACAATTCAATCAAGGAGTATTATTATTTTGTTCTTGACATGTGAGCTTACAGCTACGTCACGGCTATAATATTACTGAACAATGCAGTAGCTTCACATAGAAATTAACTTTGGGGGGGGGTTGGGATGGGGACAGATTCACCTCTTTGCCACTGAACACTGCTGCATGCTACATGTATGTGATTATGTCAATACGCATCAGAGTTTGAATGCAATTTTTACCGTGTGTGTTTAACATGAAGTCCCTGAGAAAAAAATATTTTCATCAACAAGGAATATACCATAGCTGGACCCTTGTCTAGTGGTAGTATTAGTAGTAGTAGTTTAGGTTTAAAAAAATGGGTTGAGGGTTTATTGTCAACATTATCTCCCCAAACTATTACAAGTTGACAAACTAGATTGTTAAAAAAAATCTAAAGTGATAATTTTTAAAAAAATGAAGTGCTTTTTCTTAAGGAAGTTTATCTTGTTTGTCTTCAAATGTAGAACATGAAATCGACACCGCTGCTTTGAAGCTGCTAGATGAAACTTCACTTGTTGAGCTGATACCCAAGATTGGCTTGAGGCTCAAATTTCTTCAGGGTTGGAGGAGAGATGTGAGTTAACAACTTGATTGAATGAAACAAACTGGTAAAAATGGAATTTACTTGTTTTAGATGTCTAACTTCTGTTGGGGGAGAAATGCAACAGTTATTTCATCATCTTAAATATGTCCACCACATCACATCGGGATCTGCAACAAGGATAATTTGCCATCAAAATGGCTGTTTAGAGACATTTTCTTACTGCTCCTCATTTAAAAGACATCTGATTTCTCAACACTGCTCTGAAAATATTGAATTACAATCGAATGATGAAGCAGCAGACTTTGAGGATGGAGAATTTGGCACAAGTAGTGAGGATGAAGAATTTGGCACAAGTAGTGAGCATGAAGATTCAGAAAATGGCGATTTGTCTTTAGATGAGGGACTGATCCAAGACGATCCAAGAAAACATATCGAATTGTTTATTAAGACAATGATGTCATCTGCTGTCCCATCTTCATTCACTCAAAATGTAATTTCTGAAGTTGAAGAATTAGTCCACACTATTCTAAACAATTTTGAAAGAGATGCAACTACATTAGTCAACAGCATAACAGTTGATGATCGCAATGCTTGTTTTGAGAACATGAAGCAAACATTTGAAGCTATTAAGTCATCTTTCAATGGCCTTCGGACACAATATCAGCGTAATTCTTACTTGCAAAAGGAAGGTCATCTGATAACTCCAGTGGAAAAGCTTATTGGCAGGACATTTAAATCTCGAACAAACTCTACCACAGGAGAAATTATGCAAGTTGAGAATCGAGACACCTATCAGTATGTACCGATAGATTCCAACTTGAGAACTTTTTTGCAGCAGCCTGGAGTTCTCAAAGCAATTTTAAATGAAGAAAAATCAGAAGATCCAAATGTTCTGAAGTCATTCCGTGATGGAGAATTTGTCGCTGAAAAACTAAAAGGGGAAGAAACAGGCAGCATAATGTTGCCAATTCTCCTTTATAATGATGCTTTTGAGACAGCCAACCCTCTAGGATCGCATAAAGGAATACATAAGCTTACCTGTTTTTATTCCAGCATCCTCAGCTTACCCCCAATATGCCAAGCAAATCTGAGCAATATTATGTTGGTCGCGTGTGCCAAGTGCACTGTTTTGTCGGAGTATGGTATTGACTGTGTGTTATCCACGGTAGTGAAAGATCTTAACAGACTTCAAAAAGAAGGCATTGAAGTTTCAAATGATGAACTGTCAGTTAGAGTGAAGCCATATCTGTTCCAGGTTATTGGAGACAACTTAGGCCAACATGAAACCTTGGGATATGTTCTGAGCTTTGTAGCTAACCATCCATGCAGGTTTTGCAGAGTACACAGGGAGACTGCGAGATATCAGCTTGTGGAAGATCCAGATCTTCTTAGGACTGAGCACAGTTATGAAGAGGATGCAGCACTGGAAGATGTCAGTAAAACGGGTATTAAGCGACGCTCTGCCATGAATAACTTGTTAGGCTACCATGTAACACAAAATGTTGCTCCTGATGTTATGCATGACATGCTAGAGGGTGTTCTACCTTTGGAGATTAAACTAACTCTCAAATCTTTGGTTGAAGAAACTGTTTTCACACTTGAAGAGCTTAATGGCAGGATTAGTGCATTTAGCTATGGGAAAGTGGACCAAAAAAACAAACCAAGTGCAATTGGGCCATCAGCCTTTAACAATCCGGGGGGGCCAAGTGGACAGAAAGCGGCTCAGACCATGTGCCTTGCGATTTATCTCCCACTTATAATTGGTGATCTTGTGCCAGAGGGATCAGACGTATGGGAGGTTTATCTGTTGCTACTGGACATTTACAAAACAGTTATGTCTGACTCAATCAGCATAGGAGCAACATACTCTCTGAAACATATGATACGTGACCACCACAGTCTTTTTCTTCAAGTTTATTCAGATCGTCATTTGACACCCAAGCAGCATCATCTGTTGCACTATCCCAGAGCAATTCGGCTACTTGGCCCATTACAGCAATACTCGAGTATGAGATATGAGGCCAAACACAAGCCATTTAAGAAGTGGGCTGCTGCATGTAACAACTACCGAAACATTGCGAAGTCGGTAGCTACTAGGCACCAGCAGCAACAAAGTTGCATGCTCTCTGATCCCAACCACACCTTCAAATGTAATGTTGATATACAGCATCAGGTTCTTGTATCTGTGAAATCGTTGGAAGAGGCGAGTGTCATCTGTGCTTCTCTGAAGGTTACACAGGATACAGTTATCACAGTTGCAAGTATGGCAGAAGTGTATGGTTACCAGCTAAAACCGAACAGCATGGTCCTCACAGCATGGACAGAAGATGGACCCCAGTTTGCTGAAGTGCAGCATATCCTTGTAAACGAGAGAGGCCTGTTTGTCACTCTAAGGCCATGGCTTGTAAAGGCTTTCAACAGACACTTTCATGCTTTTGGTGTTCAACGGATGGATGGAGGCATCATGGTGAAACGACCACAGGATCTTTTTGACTACCGCCCACATCATGTTACACGGAGCCATGATGAAAAAGATGACTCGCTGTACATTGTGATCCGATTCAACCTTATATAACACATTTTAGGTGAGTTATAGAAATATTTGCTCAATCTGTTGTTCTGCCCTTTACTGGTACATTTCCCTTCAGCTTATTTGCAGGGTTACTTATTTTTTTGAATTATTTTTTATGTCATATTTGTATGAAATTTCCAGTTTCCAAAGCAACAGCATGCTGCAATAAGAGCGCAGAAGCCTCCACTACAGTACAGTGATGATGACTCCTCTGATGACCTGACGGATGAGCATGAGTTGTCCGATATTTCCTCCCAACAAAGCAATGCATCAGCTTCAGTGTCTGGGGCATCCTCATCCTCAAGTGGCACACCCTCTCACCAAAAGAAACGAAAGATGTCACTGTTTGTAAGTATATGACATTTTGTTTACTTTGTAAGGTAAAAGAAAAAAATACAGTAGCACTTTTTCACATCCAGTGCACCCACTGTCATGTTACTTTTTTTGTGTGGATAGATGTTTGCACCTGTCTTGATTATCCCCATCCTCATGTATACTACTTTACTTTCTTCAAATTGCAGAATGCACGGACTATTCTTCAGACAACCAAGGTTGGCACAGCTATTGTTGCACAACTTCAAGCTGATAAAGTGCTCACAAAGAAGGCCAGATGCACAATGACATCCTTGTTGGTTGGATTCCTCATTGAAAACCATGGTTTGAAGTAAGTACATGTACAAGCACCCCCCAAAAATAAAAAAAAATTGAAAAATTGAGCGTTCTTGTAATATAAGAAATAATGAGAATTTTAGAAAGACATAATCTCACTAGCACAAAAACTGTGTGTATGTGAAGCAAAGTTGCCGTTTCATGTTTTGAATTGCAGGCAGACGCCATGAGCGTCCGGGACATGTTCTCATTCTATTGATTGCAGCTACGCAATGTCACACACTGACCCGACAAATTAGAGCAACTGCGTGTATGTGCACATTATGTCAATACTTGTGTGCACCCATCACTGCTCCACCGAATTGAAAACTAACTCCGCTGAATTCAACAGTGTAACTCTTTTGTGTGTGTGTTATAAAGGCCAAGTTCATACGAGAAGCAGTGTCTTGCTGAGAGTATCATTGAGGAGTTTCCATACCTCAAAGATCCAGAGGGCAAAGGCTATGTAAGTATGTTTGCAAATTAAACAGGAATTGTGCTTGTTTTCTTTCTTTGCTGTGTTGTTTCAATCGTTTAACTCTAAAACACATTTTTATACAAAGAAAAATTGACTGGTTTATCTTCCTACTGAAAAATGTTTATCACTTTAAACTTACATCTGAAAAAACCTTTGAAAAATCAGTTGTATACTTTAGAGATATAAGTTAATCCTTATATAGCCTGTCTTGAATAAGACAAAAAGTAGAAAACAAACAATAGTTAAAAAATGAGAATTTCAAAGTACGGTAACTTTTAAAGAATCAAAACTTTTGCATCAAATACAAGTTCCATCAGTTTATGCTACAAGAGTGAAATGTAAGAGTTCAGATATACAACATTTGTCCTACCCACTTGAGGCCAAAAAAAGGTTTCTGGTATGGAGCTTGCTTTTTTTTTTACATTTTTTCTTCAAATTTCAGCTGATGACTGCAAATGGTGTCCGACTAAATTTAGTGCAAAATGTATAGCTTTTATAAAGCCTATACAGCTTATCAAGCTTATACTAGATTGTAGCCCCATCTAAAAACACGCCAGAATTGTGCAGCAGCAGGATTCCAGTCAAACCAATGAGTTTGGCGGTTTGAGACATCATCTTACAATGAAAAAAAAAAATTTATAATTCTGCTGACGCGCATGGCTACGGGGACGCGCGTGCATAACAGAAACCGGAGACTCTTTTTTTTTGCCAATTACCTTTTTTTTTCTTGTGAGACTGACTGATACTTGCATGGCAACATGAAATAGATGTATTACAAACTGAAAAGAGTATATTTTTGTACAACTAAATGAAAGGGCTTCTCCATTTCTTTTATGTAGGAAGCATGGTATATGAAAGGTGCAAACAAACGTCCAGCTACAGGGTACTTGGAGGAACGACTAAGGTACATCAGAAAGACGATGCTCGATAAGGAGGACAGGAACAAGGGGAAATTGGATGCTCCTGCTGAAGGTATGTGTTTAAGCAACATATTGTTGCATCCAAGATTTTTATGTTGTATCCTTCAATTGTTCCCAATTTTGTAAATCTTTCCAGGTAATTTTTTTTTATTTGTCTGGAGCTGAATGCTCGCAATTAAAATGATAATTTGCACTGTGCTGCATTATTTTGTACATTTTGTTTCAACAAAAATATTTTTTATTCAACAAACATCGTTCCCAAAGGTTACACTTTCAAGGTTTCCTTCAGTCAAGTGTTAACTTTGTTTTGTTGGTTATACATGTACTTTCTAGTTTGTGGATTTGGTTGGGCCTGCCAAGCTGACTTGGTTCAGCTTGACCCTACTTTCGTACTTGGCTGCACAGGGCTAAATTTGACACATGTTGTCAAAACTTTTTTTAAATACTGCTATTATATGTAGAGCCACCTCGTGAAGGGACAACTAGTTCTCCTGAAGAAGAAGCCAGGATGGTAGCTTGGCTGAAGGACAACATGGAGCCAGCAAGCAAAGTTCAAGAATACATGGCACTGACAGCAAGGCAACGCAAGAATTTCATTGGGCAGAAGAAGCAATCTCTGGCTGGCATCTTGGAGGAATTTCCACGTATTCTCGACAAAGACATGGTAAGAAAATTATAGGTTCCAAACAGCAATATGCGACAAGAGGATGGAACGTATCATTCATTGCAAGAGGTGTTGCAGTCAATATCGTGACAGCATTGGATCAAGTTAGCTTATTGACAATAACATTTCAGTGTTGTACTGTGTGGACTTTCCAGAATAGGTTCCTAAACACCCCTCCTTAAATTAATTATCTTCAACATCAGAAATCAATAGTTTTGTGTGAAAATTGTATTCCCACAAAACATGGGATGGATCTTGAGTTGGAGTCCTCAAACAGTTCATCATTTTTTTAAAGTGTGAATAGCTGTATTTTGCCTTGTAGATAAATGTGTTTTGTTTGTATTTTTTATTTGTTTAAAGATTGCACAGGACTTTGATTTGGTGCATCATCCAGGTATTGCAGATAACCTCTTCTTCAAGTGGGAAGGCTTGTGTGACTCTGTGATAGCATATGCCAACTTCATGACTCCAACTTGGAAGCAAGTTCTCCACATGCAGGACAAAGTAGATGGTACACTCTCTACAGGTAAACTTGTCATATGCTAACCTTTTGATAAAGTTTTCAGTTTGCATTCCTTCCTCTATGGTTAGCCTATGAAGGATCATTCAAATGAGAGAAGCTGGCACAGAAGTTGGTCAGCTCCACTCAACAAATTTGCACTTTGGAGCAGTTTCACTGACAATGTTGTGTTTCAATTGCACACAAATTAAAAAAACTGCTGGAGCTGACATTAAAGCTGACCAGCTCAAACTCAAACCTGGAAATTTGCCAGACAAGCTCCTCTTGAAATCTCAAGAATTTTGGGACCCCAACCCCAAATCTTTCAGCATTTGCTGCTTCGAAACACCACCACACCTCATAGCCCTCGAAAATGGGAGAAAAGGGGGTTCCTCTAAAATTTCAAACTTGCTTTACAATGTTTAAACTATTCTCTGCTGGATTGTAGCCCCACATGATTTTAATCATTTATTTGTACATGTTGGCTCGCTTCATGCGAATATATTGGTTACAGCTTTGCAAAACATATTGGCAAGTTTTGAGGAAATTTCTATTTGCAGGGTTTTGTTATTGCTTATGTATTGTTAATTTCTTTTTCAGCGGAGAAGAAAAACCTGGCCCTGTTCCTTCTACCAGTCATTCTGGGGGGCCGCAGTAAAGGCAAGCGAGGAGGCCGATGCAGCCTGTTTGACAGCATTGATGCATTTATTGACTTAAAACCGGTATGTTGTATTTTGTTCTAAGATCACATATAAAGGGATTGAGTGCCAAGGTTTTTCCTGTATAAATAAGCTGAAACTGTTCACCATAATTAATTATAGCATAGGGCAATTCAGTGAAGGACATAGTTTAATTTCTTCCTTTGCTGATAAGCTGATCTATTTCTATTGGCAAATCATACAAAGGTGCATAAAAATACCATTTGCAGATCTTCAGCTTATCAGTGGGAAAGATGGTTTCTCGCTTTACTAACGATCTCAAATCAATTTGTTTTGAATTTTGCATGAAGTATATTATATACACTATGTCCCCAAAAAGTGTTCATCTAACTTTTCTTTAAAATAACTACAAAACCATGAGGTCAATGAACTTTTGGGTTTTCTTTTTTCTTTTTTCTTTTTTTTGGACACTGGCATTCCTTGCCTTATACAGTATGTGTTATAAAGCTGTGTAAAATCCTTCATGTAGTGAAAAGGGCTAGGTCAAACTTGCCTCTCTCTCAGTCAATCGTGGCAAGGCATGCAGTTAAATGCTCAAGGGCAAATAATTCCAATCCCAAACCACATCAACCTTTTTCTCAACATGAAGGATTTTACGCAGCTTACGTAACACAGCACTGAAACTGATTAACCCTAAAGGGGGGGGGGGGGTTGAATCCGCCCCCTCCCCCCATGAAATTGTTCAATTGTGCGTAATTTTCACAATTCACCTCATGGTTTGTAGTTATTTTTTCAAAATAGTCAAATGGACACTTTTTTGGGAACATATTGAAGAGAACACCAGACTCCAGCAAAAGTACTTGCCATTTCAGGTTACTTGGCAAAAACTAACTGCTGTACACTTTAAAATAAAAAATTACCAGTGAGTGACATATACCGTTTCTTTTAATTTTTGTCAGGCCATAATCAACGTGGACAACTACCTGGACAGCATCAATGCCGAAAAGAGGCCACAACCGTTCATCCTTGCACTCTACACAACTGAGCGCTTGAGTCCATCTCAAGTCTTCTTGGTGGTTGAGAGACGGGCCATCCCTTACCCAAGTCTGATAAAGACTGTTGATGCAGCATTTAAGGCACATTACGTGCTTGACATCAATTACCAGCCACAAGTCAAGACAGTCTGGGAGTTCCTCCAAAATGTCGTGTACGAACTACCAGGGATAGTTCCCCCAATCTTGAGGGATTTCCGTGCGTATTTGGTGTCCAAGTGATTTAAGCATTGTAATCCAAGTAATCTGCATTTGGTGTCATAGGGGTGTGAAATCTCAGCTTTAAAGCTGATTTCAGCTTTTTCTCGCACTTGCTGTGTACAAAAATATAGATTTTCAAAGTTCAGCCTTTTTAGACCTTTTTCAGCTGTTTTCAGCTATTTTTATCAGTGGTCACTCACACCCTGTGGTGTGCAAGTTCTTAATATCAGCTACGTACATATAAACTTATGTAGCAACCATTTGTGCCCTTTTCTGGTAACAACATATCAATCAGCTACAGGTTTGACATTTGATTATCATGGTGTAGTCTAACCTGGCAAGCCAGAAATCCCAGTAAAAAAAATAAGTGCCTGCATTAACCTTAGTATTTTCATTAACGCTAAAAGGAGTGTGGAATGTTAAGCAACCAAATATAAGGTGAAGTAATCTCGAAATTGTTTCCTCATTTTGTATTTAAGAGAATATACAACATTTGCAAACATCGGGGAAAAAAAGTACCAAGTTTTTACAAAATACCTTACTAGGATGTTGGTAAATGACAGTCTAAAGCATCCTGTAAAATCATGGCACCTGGTGTGAAGTCAATAAACAAATGGTATTTTCGTTACATTTCCAACGGTGGTCGGCCGACCACCGTTGGAAAAAACTAACTATTTTTTCAACTTCTGCTCCAAATTTACCCTTTTTTTTTCAGTCCAAATTTTGTTTGCTATTGGTTATATGTTCATGAACGGGTGCAGGCCAGCTAGACTGGTTCCCTTAATTTACAATTTTCCGGCATCTATAACCTGATCCATTTCATCTTTAGTGAAGTCCGGGAACTAGACTACTTGAACATTTTTGTTTTTCTTGGTCTTTCCAGCATTTTCGAACATAAAACTTCAAACATGTAAGTGTAACAATATTTGATCTATTACAAATAGTTTAGTTCTGAAAATTACAGCAAAAGCGGCTTCAGAAATAAACTATTTGAGGGGTTAATATAATAGAAAAAATATTGTTACACTGACATGTTTGAAGTTTTGTGTTCAAAAATGCTGGAAAAACCAAGAAAAAACAAAAATGTTCAAGTAGTCTGTTCCCTGACTCCACTGAAAATGAAGTGGATCAAGTTATAGATGCCGGAAAATTGTAAGGTAAGGGAACCAGTCCAGCTGGTCAGCACCTGTTCAGGAACATGTAACCAATAGAAAACAAAATTTGGACTGAAAAAAATGATAAATTTGGATAATTGAAAAATAGTTAGGTTTTTCCAACGGAGGTCGGCCGACCAAGGTTGGAAATGTAAACAAAAATTTAATTATCTTGAAAATGACTTCACACCAGGTGCCATAATTTTACAGGATGCTTTACACTGTCATTTACCAGCATCCTAGGGAGGTATTTTGTAAAAAAATGGTAGTTTTATTTTTCAATGCTTGCAAATGTTGTATTTCCCTTTGAGGCTTCAAAATAGTTTACATGTTAAAAGTTTAATCTCTGAATAATTCATCGGCCCAAATTTAACACTCTAAAGCTTTTAAATACTCTTGGAATAAAACGAAAGTTGTTGAATTGTTCAACACTTCCAAGGCAAGATGGAGCCCAACGTTATTGTGTTAGCAATGCTAGATATTAAACATGATGATAAAAAGCTGTAAAGCTTGTTTTGGCAGTTTTCATTGGACGAAGTGAGAAGTCTATACAAAATCTTCCCAAACTTATAAGGCTTTGCAAAAAAATGCTTCATTAGCATTTGCGAAAACAAATGAACCATTGTGTTTTGTGTATGTTTTATATCAGTATGGTTTAAATAAAGGGTTTGTTTGGCAGCAAACAGTTAAGTGGTAGTTTAACATGGTAGTATTTCATTGTTTTTATTTGCTCTTGATAATTTAGGGACGGAATGGAACTTTACGTAAATTTATTTTTAAAAAATTCCCCTTTATATATTCGTGAAACAATTTATTTAAAATTTGACCTATCCAAATTGTATTTCAAGTGACAAGCACAATTACTGTCATCGCTGTTTATTATCCAGCAAGAATAAGCCCTAAACTTCTGGTTGGATTTTTATTGACAAAATGTGTTTCAAGTTTCGAAGGAAAAAAGCTAATTTTATGCAACCCAAATTATGGGGAAAAGACACTTCTGGAGAAAACCTGATTTAACCAATAAACATAGCAAAAGGAAAGGACCACTTTCTGGGTCAACCAACAAACGTGACTACGTGTGACCAATTTCTGTGGAAAAAAAATCCCAATCAATCAAGTAATTAAAGACCATTTCCTGGGAAAGTTGAAATTGACCAACATTATGGCAACCGCATTTGACCAATTCCTGGGAAAATTAAAACCTTAAACCAACAAAAATGGCTACCAGATTTGACCAATTTTTGGGAATTCAAAATTACCCAACGAATATGACAACCAGCTTTGACCAATTTTAGGGGTATTTAAACTTAACCAACAAAAATAGCCACCGGATTTGACCATTTTGGGGGGGAAAGTTGTAATAACCAACAAATGTGGGAAGTTCAAATTAACCAACAAACATGGCAACCAAATTTGACCAATTATTGGAAAATTTGAAATTGACCAACAAATATGTAAACTACCCAACATTTAAACAAAAGGCATAACCCATTTTCTCGGCAAAGCGATTGCCCAATGCTTGTTGGGCAATAAATGACCAACTTTTTAACCTGTTGATATTTAGACCAACATTGGGCTAAAAGTTGGGCAAAATTTGCCCAATTTTTTTTAGAGTGTTGCTTACCACGTGTTTCGTGATCTTGGACTCTGCTCATCACCTGTTTTTCAAGTTTTTCAAAAATCAGTCAAATGACTTATCGTTGGAATCACCTACATTTCTTGATTTCTTCTTAATGACAGCAAGCCAGATTGAATAATTTCATGGGGTGTTTAGTACCAGTACGATCTTTAATCCAAGTGAGCTTTTTGATTACAACTCGGTAGGTTACTTTTGGGATAAATGCAAATGATCCCATCCCATATCCCTTTAAGTGTGTAAATTAATTTAAAACTCCAATCAGTTCGGCTGTGCAGTTACAGTGTGTAAATCTCATTTTAATCAAAATCTTCTTTCATGTGTCATGCCAGCAACATTAACAGTTAAACATTATTTACATTCAGTTTACATTTCCAATGTGAATAAATCAAAATGTTGATTCAAAGTACACTTTTCTCTCCTGCAGAATACTTTTACCAAATTGAATGGTTGCATTTGGGCATGTTATAAACGACTGCTATCACCTGGGCAACTGCAAAATATCAAAACTGTTAGAAACAAAAATGTCAGTTTTCATACGAGAATATTGATCATACTTGAAACAAACAAATCTAGTGTCAATCAATACTTTGAAGAGGCTTGCAATGATAAAAACAAGCAAATTGTCCACTTGTACCTATTTCAACATAATCAGAAACATTTTCGCGTATACAGCAATTGCAACGATTGGTCCTGAATGAGCAAACATGACTGTCCTCTGACAAAAATGCATCATTTGGCAATGCAACATTCTACATGTATATATTATATGTGAATTGTTTTACAGTATGAACACTGGTTTAGTAACTCTCAATATGGACATACATGTACGCCTATAGTTGAATAGTAAACAAAATCCATGTTATACTGTCCATACACAACTGGACCACTTTAAAGGTATATTACATAAACAGTCAAGGTTAAAGATCTATACAAAAGTTAGCAAACTGGAATCATAATTTTTGCCATTTTATGCATAATTTACATTTATTTACACAAACGATTTGATAAAGAATGAAGCACAAACACTCAAAAGAAACGTCTGTTTGAAAGGCGTGAAGTTGCGAGAATTTTCTGAATTTGTACATAAGGCAAACGCTAAACAATTCCAAAGTACCCGAGGTTTGGGGTATTATTCTGTATACTAAGTTTTGCACAGCACTGGTCTATGGAAGGGTGTCGTGCAGCCATTTGCGTGTGGTCACATTAGTTTGTTTGAATGCCATATTACTACATTGATCTGATAACAGGGTAGGAGGAGGCCTTTGTCACAAAAGTTGAAGACATCTCACACAATTTCACCTAAGATGCAATACAAGATATTTTCTCAAAAGAAATGGAAAGGAGAGGTGGATTCTCCTGTTTAATTGACGATTAGATTGTAGATTTATAATAGTACTCAGAGGTCACCCAAGATACAAGGTCAATTTAATATCACTTTCAAGTGACACCCAGAATGCTTAGTACAGTGCTATTATGTTTGAAGATTTCAATGAATCATTTTGTACAGGAATTGTTGATTGACTTTTCACATTGATTGATTGTGATTGATTAATTGATGGATTGACTTTTTTTTGGGGGGGGGGGTGGAGGTTCAGTAGAATGAAGAACTATGCTTGGTATATTTGTATTCATAATGTAAGAGGATTCTGAATATGTTTATTTGTACTGAAACTGTTTTGTTGACTTTTCTATTCATTATCGAGCCCCTTACTGTCCTCTGAAAATAAAGTTTTTGTTGTTATTGATTGTTAGTTGTTTTTTTAATTATTCTTTTTTTAGGGGGGGGGGGGGTTGCAGAGCACTGATTTCGCATAAAATGACCCATCATACATGCTACTTGTTTCAGTTTAATGGGGCTCGTGAGCGTGGTGCATTCATAGGGAACAAGGTGAGAGTGATGACTTGGTGGGAGATTATTTAGACTTTTGGAAAACTCCCTCTGTTGTTTCCTTCAGGTGAGGGAAGTCTTGACTGACAACTTGTCTGATGAGCTCAGGATTGAAGCCGATGTTGCAAAGTCTCAACATATGTAACTCAGGGAGACCTTGGAGATGATGGGTGAGAGCCCTCACTGCATCCAAACTGAATGCATTGTCATCAAGGTCAAGCACTTGTAAACCATGCCCAGCAGGAAGGATGCTGATCAGGTCCTTCACATCATCATCTACCAACCTGCATGCAGGGAGCTGCAAGTGTGTAAGGGATGACATCATGACATGGCTAATTACATCCCGCATCCGCGCATGCAGGTCGGTGTAATGCAGTGAGAGGGAACTCAACCTGCATCCTTCCAGTGCCTTCAATAGATCAACAACCTCATCTGGTGATCGTTGCATCATAACCAAACCAAGCCCGCCTATTTGTTTCTGCATGCAGATAAGACTGTGTGATACATGCCCCACGTCAAACCATGACTTTGCCTCAATGTAAAACGCAAGAGAGAGAGATTGAGCACGGCGCTGTTCATCCACCACACCAAGTGTTTCCTCTAGGAGGCTAAGCTCCTCCTCCTCCTGCTCAGACAAGTAGTAGTAAACAACTATCGACTTAGCTGACTTCATACTGTCACTCAGAAGATTTCCCCTGAGAAGGGTAAGCTCCTGCTTTCTTACATACATGTAAAAAACTGTACCTTCAAGTGGTGGAGTGACATGCTGTAAAAAGTAGCTCAGTGATTTCAGGTCTTCGTTACTCTTGCACTTTACCCTAGTTGGTCTGACAAGTTTGGTAGCCAAATTTTCTGAACCAGAGTCCCACAACATTAACCGAGCCAATCTCTGCAGTTCCTCTTCATCACCTTGCGTCTCTCGTATGTGATCCAGAATGAGACCAGCAGCCTGCCTTGATCCACGGCACCAACTTCTCAGTTCGGATTCCTTTTTAAGAACATTGCCAATCTGCTTCAACTGGTTTACGAATTCTAGTTCTTTCAGCGGCCCCTGGAGTCCGGTGATTTCTAAAAGAAATCATAAAATTAGTAAGAGTAAACTATTTATTAAGTATACATAAACATGATTCATAACAATTCTCTCAAGCTGCAATTCATCAAAAACGAACAATTTGCATGTCCATTTTTGGATATTTTTCTACTGAAAAGGGTTTTCTGTTCGAATCAAGCCCCCATTATTTGGTCAATTGGTCAATAAAAAAAATTGAGAAAGGTTTGCTCATTGGCTGATACTGCCATTTACTGACACAACGAAGCCAAAGAAAATTTACAACCTTAAAATATCGAAAAATTCTAGCAATTTGTCATGCTGAAATAACTGTAATATTGAGGTTTCTGACCAGAACAACATCCCAGTTTTACTAAAATATGGAAATTTGGATTAGCATAAACACACAAAAAGCACCAAGATACCCCTGAAAATAGCCAAAAAGAATTTAAATTTAAATGGGACACAAAGGTGCATTTTCAAGGATTGCATTGAATCAAATTACATTACATGTGCCCTTTAATTTGACATCCCTGAGATCAAAATGCATGTATTGATAAGGCAAAAAAAAAAAGTCTCAAGTTTCTGGTATGCGCGCGCGTCGCCGTAGCCATGCGCGTTGGCAAACTGAAAAAGGTTTTTTTCAATAAAAGATGATGTCTCAAAACCGCCAAACTCACTGGTTTGACTGGAATCCTGCTGCTGCACAATTTTAACGTGTTTTTAGAGTGGGTTATGGTCGAGAATAAGCTTTATGTGGCCTCTCTGGACTCCCATATATTTGCACTAAGTTTAGTCGGGGACCATTTGCAGTCATCAGCCAACATTTGAAGAAAAAAAATCAGGTAAAAAAAAAAAAAAGCCGCGTTGCCCCCCCCTCCCCCCCCATTTTTGGGGCAAGCTCCATACCAGAAACCGGAGACTTTTTTGGGGGCCTAAACGCAGTTTCACAAGGTTGACATTGCGTGCAATAGCCAGTCTTTATTCACTCAGCGATGAAGTCCACGCAGAAACTTTGATCACGCCACAAACGGGGTGATGAAAGGACGAACTGCTGCTGGCGGTACATCACACAGCAGAAAGCAAACCTTTGATAATACTGTACTGTGCAGTGTTTCAGGTCACTTTCAAGTCTTGTGTGTTATCACGAGCAGGGTGTGGACCCACTTATCAGTCCTCATTGTCTGTAAATTCCTGGGCATATTTAAGGATGTATAGCGACCTACCTTTCTCAACACCACAACCCCCACCCAACCCCTAAAAAGAGGGCAAAGCAAGCTGAATAATACCAATTACGACCAGACCTAGATTTGTTTATCGAAGACTTGATTCTACAGTAAAACGTACTTGCGTATGAAATGAGTTAACACGCATTTGTCTTTGAATATAGTAATAGAAATAATTTTAAAAGCCATTATTTTTTTCCAATCTCCTTTCAAACTTTGCTGATTTATAACAAAGGAATTGTGAACATTGAACAGAAAGTTATTCATGTTAATGTGGGGAGCTGTGGATTTCCTTTGATCTTTATTTGCATGTTTCATTTTGACCCACAAGTGCTGAATTACAAAGCATTTTCTCGACCAAACTCGTCAGTCGGAAGTCATTTGTGTACACTGCACTTGCAAAGTCTGCACGTTTTCTGAGACAGTTTCCGGACACAATTTCCATGTTTGACTCCTGCAGGTCAGAAGCAAGGCCTATATGCCGTGATAGGGTAAAATCACTGAAACTTGGTGGGCCCCGATTGTCATCTGAAAATTTTAAAGTCCTATATATCTGGAGAATTACAACAGCTAATTCATGTAACTATGTTCAACACAAATATTCTTAAACCGTAAACCACCCTCCCCCTGCCCCCCCCCCCAATACATTAACACTTGATTTAAGATATCAAACTACTTCATTGCATCAAACAAGATTATATTTACCGCGTTCCTCCAACGGCTTGTTGTAAGTGATATTAACTGCACTTGAACCAACAATGATAGGGTTCTGGCTACCGCTGATCTCGCCGGTGTTTCCTATGCTGCCTCCACTTATTTGTGGGAAATCTACAATCAAAAGCAAGAATTATAATATCTATTATAAGATGGAATTTTTGCGACGGGGTGATATAAATCAAATTAGATTTTGCCCTCCACCGACGTTTAAACACTGTATACTCAGTGTGTTACCTCCCAAGTGAAAGTTGGAAAAAGTCACTCGGGTGGGACTGGAACCCACAACCTCCTGCTTTCTAGTGCAGATGTCTTACCACTCGACCAGCAAGCTTATGGGATCGGTTGGCTGGTTAGCTCGGTGGTCGAGTGGTAAGACATCTGCACTAGAAAGCAGGAGGTCGTGGGTTCGAGTCCTACCCGAGTGATTTTATCCAACATTCACTCGGGAGGTAACACACTGAGTATACAGTGTTTATACGTCGGTGAAGGGCAAAACCTAACTTGATTTATATCACCCCAACGCAAAAATTCCATCTTATAATAGTTTATGCGGTACCCGCTGTTATGTACATCAGATTCGAACCGGCCAACCGATCCCGTTAGCTCGGTGGTCGAGTGGTAAGACATCTGCACTAGAAAGCAGGAGGTCGTGGGTTCCAGTCCCACCCAGGTGATTTTTCCAACTTTCACTCGTACTTGTATGTGAATAACAGGTACATGTATGTGAATAACACCATATTTTGTTTTTTAAAATATTATTCATAAGATGAAATTTGCATTGGGGTGATGTAAATCAATATTGTGTTTTTGCCCTTCACAGACATCAGGCGCGGATCTAGGAGATCCAGGAGATTTGGGAAATTTGTTCTGAGAACTAATACGAGCGCGAGCCCCTGAACATTTTGGATTCTAGATGCTCTGTGGTGCAATCTGAGGCCATTCCTGGCCCCTTTACCCCTGAATTGTTTGAGCGAAAGCTTTTAAGATTATAAGGATTCTTTTTAAATATACTCCTGCTTTTAAACATTTAAGTTACTGTGTACTTTAAAATAGTAAACCATGTATTTTCGTATTCATATTTCTTGCATTGTATTTTGGAAAAAGAATCATATTGACTTAGTTTGTAAACTGTTGCAACAATGCGTTGGGGCATTTGCTCCAAGGACTAATGAGAGTGTGGGGTCAGGGGCCCACTAATAAAGGGCCCCAAGAAATTTTGGAATCGAGATGCTCTGTGTTGCAAATCTGAGACGATTCCTGGCCCCCTTTCCCCTATAGCCCTGGGTTAAGAGTAAAATGTTTTAAGATACCAAGGATTTTTGTCATTTTCATTTCGGTTTGCAGTAACACATGTGGTTTTGGATTTTTAATTTTAATACTCTTGTATTTACAAGCCTTTTAAGTTTCTTCTGTTCTTCACTTGATAACCATGTATTTTCGTCTGCATATTTATTTTCGTGCATTTTATTTATATGAAAAGGATTTGGATTAGCCTTGGTCAAGGCGCTAGTTGTTTTTAATCCGGCCGTAGCGCGGTAATACATGCAGTCATAATGTCTATGCGCTATGCATGCAGTACAGTGCATTAAATATACAGCGCGAACAGCGACCTCACGCGGCCAATATTTTTATGCAAATCAGTTGGACCCAATATAGCGCCTTGGTTCAATCGTCCATGTGAGGTTTTGGGGGTGGTGCTCATTATGTTAATAGCCTTAGCTGACCTTAAATGTCGTTTTCTTATTGGTCGATCGTCGCGAGGAAACTTGCTTAGTAAAACGTGGCACTGTAGATAATCCATACATGTTCACATACACGTTATGTGTCTCTGCACACGGCACCAACGCACAAAAACTGTGGTTCCTGTCACGTCCGCAAAAGGCAAATAGCTAGCTGCAAACAATTTGATGACATCCAGATTTACCAAGGTGTGATTGGACACTCCACATATTAGCCCCGCCTACACATATCTGTTTTCACATACGAGGTCGTGCGCTAGAAATCCAGCGCAAAATAAAGAAAAACATAAGCTTTTGCCGACGATTGAACCAAGGCGCGATATTGGGTCCAACTAATTTGCATAGAAATGGTGGCCGCATGAGGTCGCTGTTCGCGCTGTATTTTAATGCATGGCCCTAGCGAGGATATCGTTTACGCGCAACGGCCGGGATGAATAACATTTAACGCCTTGACCAAGAGCTGCCTGACTGTCTGTTACTGTGGTTACGGTAAGAGCAACCCACAAACCAAATGTGAAGTTCCTAAGTAAAGTATTTCTCAAGCATTCATGCTGACAATACAGCAATTAGTGACCTTGACCTAGCTGTCGGCCCCAAAAGCAACAGGCCTCTTAAGACTATCAAGAACAACAGACAACCCACAAACCAAATTAAAAGCTCCTACGTAATTATTCTCAAGTTATCGCGTTGACAAGATTTCTATTGTCTTAGCAATAGTGACCTTGACCTTTGACCTGTCGGTCCCAAAAGCAATAGGCTTCTTAAGACTACCAAGAACAACCCACGAACCAAATTTCAAGTTCTCTAGTCTAAGTAAAATATTTCTCAAGTTAACTCGTTGACAAGATTTCTTTTGTTTTAGCAATAGTGACCTTGACCTTTGACCTGTTGGCCCCAAAATTAATAGGCCTGTTAAGACTATCCAGAACAATCCACAAACGAAATGTCAAGTTCCTAAGTAAAGTAGTTCTCAATTTATCGTGCTTAACAAGTAGGCCATCAGCCTCAGTCCAAAATTTTGGCAACCGGTATCAAATGAGGGGAATAATCGTCATAGCAATTTTTGGCAAGGTATACACCTCCAGAGTTGGAAAATATGTGATAGCATTGCAGCGGTGGCAGCTTTTAAGGAGTTATCACCCTTTTTCTCAAAATGTCCATCAAAAGGCTTGTTACCACTCTAGGGGCGGCATGCCTTGCGCATGCCCACTATAATCATTTATGCCCTGATTTGATACCGACCAAAGCCCCATGCTGATGGCCTAAAGAGTTAACAGGAGTTTTGTTTATGGTGTAAATTGAGGATTTTCTTTTGTTCCTCTTCCCTTTTCCTTTGTTTGTACCTTAACTTTTTTGCAACAGCTCTCATTGGTTTTGTACACATTTTCCAACCGAGGAGTCCTCGATTCGGTTTCTGTCCTCGATTCATTGATAATGTTGTTAGCATGGGCGTCGCGAGGGGGGGGGGCAAGGGGGGGCACTTGCCACCCCCTGGAAAAGAAAAAAAAAAAAAAAAAAAAAAAAGAAAGAAAGAAAGAAAAAGAGGTGCGAAGACAAAGTGGTGTATATTAAATGAATTGGGGGGGGGGGGGGAGTGGGGCAAAATGTCCCTGCCCCCCTCTAAAACTGATAAATCGAGAATGTGTTGAGAAATACAAGCATTTTTTGGCCAAAAAAAAAATTGCCCCCCTCTAGAAAAAATCCTGGCGACGCCCATGGTTGTTAGTGTCCTTGACTTACAATATAAACAAAATAATGCAGAAAAGACAGACCGGCAGCCGATTTCACAAAATCTTACATATTGGCGCAACTCTGCTTGAGCCAAAATTTATTGTGTAAGTTGTGCAACATGACACATTTCACAAAAGTCACATAGTGCGTAAGTCCACAAGTTGCACAATAAATTATGATGTAACTTGCACCATCATTTTAGGCGGCATACATGTAAGTTGTGGCGTAGCGACTGAAAATGACATATTTTACCAGCAAATCAGGAGTGTCACAGAACTTGTTATTGCACAAATTATCAAAGTTGATACAAGACGGACAAAATAATTTTCAAAATGGCGGGCTGAGGTGATTCAACGACTGTTTTGCGAACGAAAAAATTCACACACAAACAGCGTCGTAAATGCTGCTTTTTTCCTCGTCCAAGATGCTTAAATCATTTAAAGCATTGTGCAGCTGCGCCCAGTTTTGTGAAATCGATCGTAAGTTTATTGCGCAGCTGGGAAACAACTTTGTTGCGTAAGTCTTACTCATGGCACAAGCTGCGCACTTTTTTATGAAATCGACTGCTGCCCACTGTCATGGCACAACCAACAAAGGGTCTATAGTTAAACCAAAATTCAAGATTATATGAAATGCTGTAAAACAAACATTTTTGGGATAAGAAACATTAAATTTACATACCTACATTTGTATTTTTTTGTAATTATGGCAGAGTTTTTGCTTTAAAAATAGTATAATATTGTTTATGCATTTGCCTAAGTTACAGTGTAAATACCACTGCACTGTGAAAAGAGGTACTGACAAATTGAAAAAGGACACAGGACATAATAATTCATTTACTTCAGTTTACATCTTTCTAGAGTGATTTTTTTTATATATACTTGCTTTCACCAGCATAAAAAAAAATGGTAATTTAACAAGGTCAGGAAATGTTTGATAGCTGCTGTCTATTAATAGTTTTGACCGTGTGTGTGCCGCCCACGTGGGTTGTATTTTACTGGACACCTCTCAGTATAAGGTGCTGCCATTGTCCAGAATGGAAAAATAAAATGTGTTTTCATTTTCAATTTAAGTGTTCCTTTTTGCCATTTATCTTTCTAAAGAGAAATAATTGATACACAACACAGAGTTAAATGAAATATATAACATGATTGAAATAATCATAACTAATTTCGGGGACAAGAGACAAACCTTAAGTTAATTCCACTAAATGTACCAAAGGAGACATGTTATTGTAATTTCTTCAAACGTTGGGAGACATCGGTCATTAGGGAGACATTTTCATGTCTCCCTAATGTCACAGCCCCCCTTTAGAGGCAAAATTTTACTGTCGCAATGCGGTTATGTTTGTTGCTCGTGGTCTAATTAGTAAACATACCGAAATTCGTGGAAAAAGGACAAGGGAATATATTGGGTTAGGGCACATTTAAGTTTGAAAAATGTTGTGCACAAGTCTATGGGGATGTCTCCCAAATGTCCAATCCAAGGTAATAATAATACATGTAATAATAACCTGATTATAATGCACCTAGTCAGTTTCCCTTCGTGATTCAATTTTCCAGGTCCGAGGACCTTTTCTTTTTTATTTTTCTAAGTACTGAGGCTCTTGGTTTCAGCGCCAATTTGAAATTTGCAGAGCCGCACCGAAAGTTGAACATCAGTCTAAACTTCAACAGAGTGAATCTTTATTTCTTTTAGGTGGCAAGGATTTAAGTGTTAACTGTTAGAAGAATTGTAATGAGTCATTATTGGTTGTGGTATTGTGTAGTACGGATGCTCCGAGTAATTCGTGATTCATTTGAAAATTTGTAACAAAAAGCCGTATCCTCTCTGAGTGATCCTCGTTTGCATTTTCCAGGTCGGAGGACCTTTTCTTTTTTATTTCTCTCAGTACTGAGGCCCTCGGTTTCAGTGCCAATTTGAAATTTGCAGAATCGCATCGGAAGTTGAATATCGGTCCAAACTTCAATGGGGTGAATCTTTGTTTCTTTTAGGTGGCAAGGATTTAAGCGTTAACTGTTAGAAGAATTGGACTAGTGTGACCTTATCGGTGTTTTAATTAGTTACTAATTGGTTGTGGTATTGTGAAGTACGGATGCTCCGAGTAATTCACCATGGGGTGAGGGGGGCAGGTCACCAGTGCGGTCCCCCTTGTTTCAGGGACTCTGCTATGCTATATATTGTGCCTAATAGCGTCAATGCAAAGGATGCGAAGGATGGGAAGGATGCTGTCAGGGAACCGATATCAGGGCCAGGGGAGTCATAAAATGCAGGGTTTACAGACCAAATGTTCAAATGTGTCTCACCGAGTCTTGGCTGTAGTTGCGGCTGTGGTTGTGGTGTTGGTTCCTGCTGGGAAGGTTGTTCGTTACCAGCCGGGACTTGTTGGGTCGGAGTTGTCTGAATGTCTTGTGCTGTGCTTGGACCAGGGTAAGTTTGTGTCCGCAGCATTTGTGTCTCATTTCGTCTTTGGGCTCCCTCACCCGGTGATTCTGCCATTTAGCGCTGGTGATGTGGGCACAGTTTACTTGCAGACAGCTTCGGTAGTCCAACCTGGTATAATCCTGCGAGTGCAAAGTACAATCAGGTAAAATCACATAATGGATGCTTTTGGGCTGTCAATCTGTCCATCGGTCAGTTGGTCGACCGATCAGGCATGCAACTGGGAATTTAGAAAAAAAACGAGGGATTTCCATACCACACAAGACTTTGTACAGTGTTTTTCAATTTGTAATGGTATTCATGAGAAGCAAAATAACAAGGAAATCAGCGGATACGAGGAAAAGTTGCATGCCTGCTATATATGTCAGTCAGTCGGTTGGTCGGTCTGTTGGTTGGTCAGTAGGGCGTGGTTGACTGGTTGGTCAGTCAGTCCATCGGTCAAAAAGAGCGTGGAGTATTGAGGTGAAAGAAGGGAAGTGGGTTATAGCCGCTGATAATGATCAACATGCAGATTGTGCTCTCTGCACATGGCCATGAACAAAATCTTGCTACGTGACCAGCAAAACTTTCTGACACCTTGACAATAAAAGTCCAACTTAAGTAGTTTAAAAACTTAAAACTTGAAATTGGAGACACACTTTATTTTAAAAAATCACATCATTCAGTCACAAAGATTTTTAAAAGCTGTACATTCCTGATCAGCAGAAAAAATCATATTGCAGTCATTAATAGACCTATTGATGTCGTGCTTTGTTTACATGAGTGCTTTCCTATGGAAGCCAGGTGGGCAAGAGAGCCACCAAGCTCCCATAGGAAAGCACACATGTAAACAAAGCGTGACGTCATGATGTCTAATACATGCAGGTCTATTAATTCACTCACCTTTAACCCACGAAAGGCGTTACTCTGTAGCCGACTGTGGCAGTGAAGGAGTTCACACGTCCAGTACTGTTTGGATATAAAGACATGACAGTTAACTTTGTGTGGGAAGGAACTTAAACCCTATTTTTACAACCTGCATTGTGCTAAAAACCTCTAAAACAGCAGTGTTGAGGGAGGGGCATCCCTGCCCATGTTTTCCCTCTCCTAGTTAACCCCCATGCTCCGTATATATCAGAGTCTGAATGTCAATACTCATTATTTGCTGATGGTACATTTAACACAAGAAACTGTCTGGAAGGGAATTAACCATGGCAACACATCAAACTTTGGACAACCACATGCACACCCGCCTCCCTACCCTCAAGTGTTGTAGGATTTATGCTTTTATCTCTTCCACAAACTAAATCTCAGGCATGCAACTGTAAATTCACCACACAAAAAAGAAAATTCCAAAATATGTTTTCAAATTTTGAGAGGCATAATGACATGAGAATAAAAAAAGAGAGGAAATAAGCTGCTCCGAAAAAAAGTTGCATGCCTGAAAACTATTGTAATACTGAAAATGTACAGTTCAGAATCGATAAGAGCGGATCCACTGTTACTATCAAATGAAAGAACCTCTTCTGCCCAGCCCCTATCTATAGTGAAACTGACGTCATGCTCAGAGAGATATTAAAGTAGAACTGGGCAATTGTCAGATCCCTGTGGGTCGGTATACACCACGAATATTGAAACTGCTTCACTGCCTTTTGAGCAACGGGGCAACATGCAACACAAACTACCATTTGAAAGTTGTCAAACATCCCGTTTTGCTTAAAACCTTTTTTTTATCAAACAAGTCCTAATTACAGAATAGAGTAACATCTTTTGAAGTATACTGCTGTCATTTCAGCAGGGTAGCCTTTTCAGCTGTTTGAACTGCTCAAGGCCCTGACATGCGCGTTCATAGCCCTTACTGGTACACGTCTGTGAAGACAAAACTTGTTTATTGTGTCGAAGAGAAATTACCACTCCTCTAAAATAAAGTACCTTGGCCTGTACATGTTACTCAACTCAATAACAGCAGGAACACCCACTCTATATTAGCGATAGTGCATGTACAATTGGTTTATGAGAAATAAACTGAATACCCAGACTATATTGTTGATAGTACAATGGTACCGGGGGTATTCCCCAATAGTTTACCTACAGCGAGCCAGAGAGCTTAGAATCTATTCAAGTTCAGCATTCCTCGTTGCAACGTCACTACCCCATTTATTGGGTTTGTATTCTCAGGTCATCCACCATTGACTCTCACAGACCTTGATGCAAATTCTGCCAACAATACTGAATGAAAAAGCTGCCACAAACAATCCCATATTTGGTGCTGCCCCGCTACTCACATGTATGCCTTACGGATAACATACACGTACATAACATGTGCCACACCCTGCAGGTAAAACTTGTATACACTCAACCAAAAAAAAAAGTCCCCCCCCTCAAGTTTGTTTGTCTTTAACTCAAGAACTACTAGGCACCTCTCGCTCAAATAACGACTAATCAGTACAGAAAGTCCTTAGCAATCCAGCCACACTCTTAATTTGGCCCTAAAACAGTGATAATGTGAACACATTTATACAACTTATGACAAATGATACCGACACAAATTTGCACTTTTGTACACCTGCAAGTTGAGTGTGAACATTTTGTCTCGAACGCTCTTTCATCTCTTCCAACAAAAAAATCTTGAAATTGATTTCTTCACATTTTTTCACCATTTCCTTTACTACATAAATGGACTTTGCATATTCTTTGAGGTTCAGTAAAGGAAAGGGTAAAAACATAACCAACAAAACTTGAAATTATTTTTATGAAATTTATGTTGGAAGATTGCGTTAGAGACGAAATGTTCACACTCAACTCTGTGTACGGACATTAGGCCTATCGCTATTTTGTGCCAAATAAAGAGTATGGCTGGATTGCTAAGGAATTTCTGTACTTGTCATTATTTGAGCAAAAGATGCGCAGTAGTTTTAGAGTGAGACAAAAAGTATTGGGGGGATTTCTTTTCTGGTTGAGTGTATGAGTGTAATGGCGATATGGAACTATTGCCTGTGCTTTTCATTTCGTTTGGAGCACTCACCTATTAAGCGAAAAATACTGTATTTAAAGGCAAACCAAGGACCACAATGGTCCGTGGGCAAACTCAAACATGTTTTTCTTTGGTAATGAGTGATTGGCTCACAGCATTAGCAGCCTACATTGCACATGTACACGTACATCTCATGAATTAATTTGCACACGGTTAAAGATATAGTCCATCATTTGTAATTTGCGCATTCTGTTCATTTGAAGCAACAAAAGTGCTCAAAATCTATAGAAGGGTGCTGAACAACTGACCTGATGAAGTTTCAGCTCAGCTTCAGCTGTATATTTCAAGAAAAACAACATTCTACGATCTCGATTTTGAATCAAAAGTTGCTACATGTAAATCATGTTTTGAATCGGGCCTGAATTCAGCATCCGAAACAGTTCTCACTGAGCGGATTGCAGCTACGCAATGTCGCGCACCGATCAGACGAATTATAGCAACTGCGCACGCATGTGCATTGTGTCAACGCTTGCACGCGCTTCGCTGAATAAACAAACTACAAGTTAATGGAAATTTCCAACGGTGCTTCTTAAGACGTTGGAAAGGCCTTCTTTTGCTTAATACATCCATAACCTATTGTATACTCCATTTAATTATTGCATTTCCATACAAAGGTACCTATTCAAATTAAATGGGAGACTACCAATATTTCCTAATGCCAGGTACGAATTTTATTACAAAGATAAACAGTAAACCAAGATAGAATTTGCTGAGAAGCACCAGGTGTACTGTTGAACCTGCCTGTCAGTCAGCTATCAAAATGATACTGGGCTGACCCTCTGGAACTACCGATAGAACAATTTCAACCAACTTAATCAGTCCAAATTTGCTTCTTCTTATTCTTGTAATTATTCAGTAAAAATGTTATACAGATAAAATATTTACAGCTTCTTTGATATTTGAAGATTCCTTTGCAGAGCTCTATGTTGAAATGTATGGGACTCTTGCACCCCCTCCAAATATAAAGTTTTACTTTTAAGCTTTTTGCGTCCAGTTCCAAAACGTTCTGAAAAGTCTAAATTCCCTCTTAAACTTCATAACAGAGGAGCAACATGCAGTACAATTAAACTACATTGTACAATTTGAAAGTTGTAAAACATTTGTTTTGTCTGAAACCTTTTTGTTATCAACAAGTCCTAATTACGGAATAAAGCAACATCTTTTGAAGTATATTTCAGCAGGGTAGCCTTTTCAGCTGTTTGAACTGCTATTCTTTTAGGGCCCTGACATGCAGGCCTACGGTACATGCACGTTCATACATGTAGCCCTTACTGGTAGGCCTATCTGATGAAACAAAACTTGTTTATTGTGTCCAAGAGAAATTACCACTCCTCCAAAATATAGTACCGGTACCTTAATTGGCCTGTACATGTTACTCATAACAGTACAAAAAACCACACAGGTCTGTATTAGCCATAGATCGCGTAAAATTGGTTCATGAGAAATAAACTGAATACCCAGACTATATTGTTGATAGTACAATGGTATATTCACCAATAGTTTACCTACAGCGAGCCAGAGAGCTTAGAATCTATTCAACTTCAGCATTCCTCGATCCAACGTCACTACCCTGTTTATTGGGTTTGTATTCTCAGGTCATCCACCATGGACTCTCACAGACCTTGATGCAAATTCTGTCAACAATACCAAATGAAAAAGCTGCCACCAACAATCCCATATTTGGTGCTGCCCCGCTACTTATGCCTTACTGATAATAATTACCACACCCTGCAGGTAAAGATACAATGGCGATATGGAACTACATGCATTGCAGGTGCTTTTCATTTCATTTGGAGAACTCACCTCAGTGAAAAATACTGTATTAGGCAAACCATGGACCACAATGGTCCGTGGGCACACTCAACATGCTTTTCTTTAGTAAATTGGCTCACAGCATTAGCAGCCTACATGTACTTCGCCTTTTATAATTTGCACACAGTTAAATTAGAAAACACATGTACTTTTTTTTATTAAACTATAACTTACAAGTAGAAAATCCATTAGGATAAAATATTCCCACATCGCAGTATACTCAACAATGGTTCTAATTTAACTTCACTTTTTAACATAATTGTGACGAGCTCAGTAGGCATCTCAAATAAACTTAAAGTAAATTTATATAGAACCATCATCATACGATTTCACTGCAGATTATCAAGAAACTATGCAGCAGGATGTCATAATTACATGAACTGTTCTCTGTATGTTGTCCCTTGAACACTGCTCATAGTTCATGATGTGGTCTGAATAAGATTTCATTCCTACATGTACATGTAGACTTGGATTTAAATAGCTTAAATTTAGAATCAATCATTTAACTTTGACATGTTTGACTAGAATACAATGTAGCTGGATTTCTGGAAGAAGACCAGACTCAAATTGGACTCATTCTGCTTGGCCTCGACTCATGGTGGCCTAGCCTGTACATGTTACTCGACAACAGCCAAAAAAACACACACTTGTTTATTTAATAGCCATAGAGTGCGTAAAATCGGTTTATGAGAAATAAATTGTACCCAGACTTCATTGTTGATTGTACAATGGTACATTCACCAATAGTTTACCTACAGCGAGCCAGAGAGCTTAGAATCTATTCAAGTTCAGCATTCCTCGTTGCAACGTCACTACCCCATTTATTGGGTTTGTATTCTCAGGTCATCCACCATTGACTCTCACAGACCTTGATGCAAATTCTGCCAACAATACTGAATGAAAAAGCTGCCACAAACAATCCCATATTTGGTGCTGCCCCGCTACTCACATGTATGCCTTACGGATAACATACACGTACATAACATGTGCCACACCCTGCAGGTAAAACTTGTATACACTCAACCAAAAAAAAAAGTCCCCCCCCTCAAGTTTGTTTGTCTTTAACTCAAGAACTACTAGGCACCTCTCGCTCAAATAACGACTAATCAGTACAGAAAGTCCT